GTGTGTGCTATTTACCAAACACTGTGCTAAGTGCTTTACATCACTTAAGCCTCCTGACACCCGTGGAAGAAGCATCCTATTATCCTGATACTACAGGTAATGAAAGTAAGGCTGAGCAAGGGTAAGTGCCTTGCCCATGGTCACACAGCCGTTTAGCGACTGGGCTGACATTTGGAGTCAGGTGTGCCTGACTCCTAAGCCCGTTTTCCCACTCCTCGCTTCCCTGGGTCTTGCTCTCGCGTTGCTGGCTTGCTAACCCCTATTGTCTCTGCACCTTGCCTGTCATTCCTGGCCTGGAGCACCTGTTGCTCAGGAACCTGCTGGAACAAGTCTTCTGCCTCGACCTCGACCTGCTCCTTCGGACGAATTCTTGGTGTTAGCCCTGCGGCCCCACGCACCAGGGTAAGAGAGAGTCTCACTTCCTGCCCTGGCCCGAGGGACCGACTGGCTGGGCCTGCCTTCTGCCCAGCTCGCCTGTCATGGAAGAGTTTGGACACACTGCTCTTGCCTGCTGAAATGCGCATGCAGAGCCCCGGCAGTTCTCTCACCCTAATGGAGAGTGTAATGACCTCCGGGTTAGGGTTAGGGACTCGGTCCCCAGTGCACCGGAAAGCTCTGCTCTGCTCACCTGCCGCTCCTTTGCCTGACTTGTCTCTGGTACCTGATGGCTCTCAGGGCAGTTGTCAGATCGTAAGGCGGGACCAACATGCCTTCACTGCCACAGTCGTACTGGTAGAGTTAGAATCATCTGTGTGCAAGAGATAGTGTTATATATTTGTTGAAAAGCCATCAGGTTATGCTGAAAGTGAAATTTCCTTCCTAAGAAATCAGACAGTGTTTCCAGGGTCTCCCTAACCTCCCTGAAGTGAATGAGCCAAGTGTTTCCCATGGGAGCTGTCCAAAAACCATCCCCCGAGCTCTCCCCGCCCTCCACCTCCCCTCCCCCAGCCCCATGGTGGAGTCTGGCTCACCTGTATTCTCTCGCCCAGAACTCTCTATTCACCAGAATTTCTGCAGCTTTCAACACAGTGACAGCCGAGACTTGAGGGCAGGACCCCTAGGTGCCCTGCAAGACACCCAGTACACTGCAGTTCTTGCCTGTGATTAAATCACATTCAGTCTCGTGTATTGTTAGCTTGGAACCGGCTCTTTGGTTTATTGTGATTCCCTTATGACCTCTGGTATTTCTTACTCAGGGTGATCTTGCAGGATAAATGTTAAAAATAGTGATCATTAAGTAAGCTGCTTTGATTCAGGAATTGCTATGAAAGTCTTTAGTAAATTGGGATTTCAGGGTGGTGGGGAAAGGAAGAAATATGCCCACTGAGCTCCTTGGGCCTGAGTTTTTCTGGGAATGTAAAATGAGGGCTTGCAGAAGAGAACGGTTCAGCTCTCCTCTTGCCCTGACATCCCGTGGTCTTTAGTACTAGAGGCTTATAATTTCAGAGAGGTAATAATACGTGTCGACTTCGGGGAATGCTCATTTTTGTCTAATTGGTTGCTAAGATCAAGTACCTATGGAAAAAATCATCTGTTGGTATTCAAGATAGGAAATTTATTCTTTTTACTCTGACAGTTACATGATCATGAGTGTAGTGTTCCTTGTATGATGGCTTCTCGCAAGGGCTGCCATGGCAACTGGAGTTCTCATGCTTCGGAGGGAAGCAGAAAGTACACCTGCTCCTTCCTCTGCCTGAGCTGTCTCCACAGTTTTAGAAACCGATGGTCCTGTCCCACAAAACCTCATAATTCCTCTTCCCAGATTATTATACAAGTTTTGAATATTAAAAGCCTTCTCTCGCCAGTGGTTTTGTAAGCGTGGATGCAAGTTTATTTTGAAAATCTTGTCCTGTGTTGTTTTTGTCTTACTACTCATGTTTTATTTGAACATTAAAAACTTTGCATTTCTATAATTCTGTTTCTGTGTTACTGTGAAAATTCTCAGAGTTGGGTGCTGGGTTTTCTTCAATGTAAATGTACCTCCTGGTACCCTTGGTGGAAGATTTTTCTGGGGATGGTGAGCTTCCCTGAAAGCTTTGACTTATTTTATTTACAGGAGAAGCCTGATAGCTTGTGTAAAGAATAAGAAGCCTTTCTTCTGGTAACTGAGTCCAAAGATGGGAAAAACTCTCTCTTTTTATTTTGTTTGTCTTCCTCAGCATCCTCAGAATTGTAATCTGGTGTCCAACATATCTTAACCCAAGAAAGTGACATTTTGGCCTGTGTATATTTTTCTACTTAACTGTGTATTTTTTCCATTTAACTCTTTGCATGTGCTATTTCCTATTCACTCATTCTTTATTCCAACTAAATATTTGAGTCCTCACTTACACCTAGCACCGTAAGGCCCTAGGGTTATCTTGGTGACTGAAGTGGATAAGCTTTGTGTCCTGGCAGGGCTCACTGTCTAGGAGGGGAGACAAAGTCACCAGAGTTACAGTATGACACAGGGTAGTTTTAATGGAAGCACATAGTGCATGTGTGATCTCAGAGAAGGGACACGTAACTCAGAATCGGAGGTCAGAGAGGTCCTCGTGGAGGAAGTGACATATAAACTGGGACAGAGGGTAAGCAGGTGTGACGCAGAGGGATCAGAGAGGGGAGGCTGCTTCCAGGAGCGGGAGCAGCATGTGTGAGAGTGTTGGCTGCCTGAGGTCAGTGCAGAAAGACAACTAAAACCTGGTTTTATTCTCACTGAGCCTCCAAAATTAGATTTCAGAGAAAACCCTTGCAATAGTTAGACTTTATCTTAGCTTGACCAACTCGAAACCGGACGGATGTTTGTGAATGTGAGGCCAGTCGTCCGGCTCTGGAGGAGGAAGTTGGGTATTGTCTGGAGTTTGCTGAGAGGCTGTGTTCATTAACACCCCCCTTAAACTGTCTGCGGATGCCTATCTAGGCAAAGAATTGCAGATGGGAAGGAATGGAGCGTTAGCTTCTCTCTGAAAGGGCTGCTGACTCAGAGCAGTGGGCCCTCTGAACCAAGCCAGGAAGGGAAGTTGGATTGAGAACATTCATTTTCAGCAGCAGCAGCAGCAGCCCTAAGCCTGGACTATGTGTCCTTGGTTCCTTTGGGATGTCCCAGAAGTCAGAACTGAATTCTGGGCTGTTGCATGTTGGTCACCCATTTGGCCACAGACAGCTGTGGACTAACTCTGATGCCCCGGGATGACCCACATGGGCAGTAGGGGTGCCTGAACCTGGAATCTTGGGGCATATGTGGTTGTCAGCCCTGGTTCTGCCTCCTCGTACTGTAGACAGCGTTCACCCGAGGGATGTACTTCTGTGAGCTCACACAGATTCTGATGGTCCTCCTGTCCCCAAAACTACACTGTGGAGAAGGAAAGAGCACTACAGTAATTCATACGGCAACTGTTAATGGCGCATCATCAGGAAATCCCTGTGGTCCGTGGGTTAAAACAGTGGTTATCAAAGTATGAATCTCAAAACAGCAGCATCAGCATGAACCAGGAATTTGTTAGAAATGATGTTCTCAGTCCCACTCCAGACCTGAATTAAAAATTCAGAGAGAGAGTGTGTGTGTGTGTGTGTGTGTGTGTGTGTGTGTGTGTGTGTGTGGTGGTGGTGGGGGGGGGCAGCAGTCTGTGTTTTAAGTCCTCAAGGTGTCCTGGTGCACCCGGAAGCTGGAGAACTCCTGGGGTAAATAATAAGATGGACTCCAGGTGATGAAAAGATCCTGAGACTTGTATTGACGGGCTGCCTGTGGCTTCTACCCCTTTCTCTCCAATTAAGTAAACACCTTGGGATGCCAGCGAGTGAGAGTGATGTTGTTATGAGGACAGCCATGAATTTGCACAAGTTTATTAAAATATGTAAACTATTGTTAACTTTGGTACCTTAATTTTTATGTATTAATAGCATGTGACCAAGTCACAACAACAGTACTACCACAGTTAAATGCCGCAGTTCTATTACCATAGCCAGAAGAGTGGCCTGTACGTATGTGTTTTATATATGTATGTATAATATGTACTCACATATATGTATGTTTAAATTGCTATCCAGGAGACACATACATGTGTGTATAGCCAAATATTTTATACTGTATTTTATGTGCTGTTCTATTATGTGCTGGTTGCAATCCATTAAATTGATCTTATGACCCACTAATGAAATGTGACCTGCAGTTTGAAAAACATGGATGTAGTGAGCTGTCTTTGCATGGACCCTGTCTCTAGAGAGGAGAATGGTGGGGCTGGCCTCACCTCTCTGTCAGGTGTACTTGGCTTTTGGTCTCTACTCTGCCACTCTGAGCTGTGTGACCTTGGGCAACTTACCTATGTTCTTGGAGCTTTACTTTCCTCATCTGTCAATGGAGTTGATCATATCTTCTCGCAGAGTTATGACAAGCAAATGACAACATACTTCACACAGTGACTGGCAGTGGTAGCTACCACCTTACTTGTGGAAATGGTACTGTTAGTACTATTTTTCAGAACATATCAGTACATACATTTTTGTGGTAAACACCACAAAGCAGTGTTTCACAAAAATTTTTCCCATACTGCAATGAATAAGTACCCCCTGTAGTCTATGCATTCAGAAATACTTTTGAAGTAATTTTTCTTAAAAATGTGTCCAAATTCTGCACTCTATTCTAAAATATTGATCTATTCAGATTTTGATACCTATTTTGGAATATTTTGTTTTGATATGAAATTTAGTTCCCCTGCCCCAAATCTTTGAGGGCACTGAAATTGCAGTGTTTCCATGTACCTTAAACATAGCCCTGGACAGGGGTATTTGGGAAGCATAGACCTTATGGTTGTGTTTCTGTGGGAAGATGTTCATTAGCGTTTTCTCAAATATTCATGCTTGTTGATGATCAGGAGCAGCATCTTCATGTACGTAGCTCTGTAAACTGGTATCTCGGGTCATCCCTGGATCCTGGGCAGTTAGCATGTGGAAGTACCAGGGATTGGTCACCCATGGATCGGATATTGGGGAGACCCAGCTAATTTCCACTTGTCTTTCTGGAGGTCATGATCGTGGTTGGTGGCCAGGCGCCCAAGGCCATCCGCAGCGTGGAATGCTATGATTTTGAGGAGGACCGATGGGACCAGATTGCTGAGCTCCCCTCCAGGAGATGCAGGGCAGGTGAGTAGCCCATCTCCCTTTGCGGGTTGCCTTACCCTGCTTGGTGCTGGAGGTCATGCACTGCTTCTTGTTTCCCCAAACATCAGTGCATTACAGACTCCCTGTTTTCCCCTCCCTCACCTGCGTCTGGGCTACGCCTCATGTGCTTAGGGATGTCAAGCTAAAATCCAAGTATGTGTATTTGCTTGGATCGAAGAAAATTAGAAAAGCAAATATGAAAAATAATCCAGTGAGGCCCATAATGACTTCCAAATATCTCAAGTTGGAGATCACCTTCTGTGGTGAATTATTTACATGCCTGCCTTGCTCTCCACCCCCCTCCCATTGTCACCCATTCACATGAGTAATTAGCTGCCCGAGATGACCTGGGTGCCTTGGTTTCCTGTGCCTCAGGTGTGGTGTTCATGGCTGGCCATGTGTATGCCGTGGGCGGGTTTAATGGCTCACTCCGTGTGCGGACAGTGGACGTGTATGATGGTGTGAAGAACCAGTGGACGTCCATCGCCAGCATGCAGGAACGCCGGAGCACGCTGGGTGCAGCCGTGCTCAATGACCTGCTCTACGCTGTGGGGGGCTTTGATGGCAGTACTGGTAGGTCCTAGACTCGGTCCCCACAGTCCCAGCCTGGAACACACCCTCCATGCAGCCCTGGTTTGCTCAGCCAGTTCTTGGGCCAACCTTCTGTTCATCCTTAGCTGCTTCCCCAAAACGTACCCATCCTTCCTCCTCTCCCAGCTTGGGTGCCAGAGCCAAGTCTTCCTACACAAAGAATATGGAACTGCCCACGTGCTGTCATTTCTAGGGCTCTTCATAGTTAGAATTCTGAGGCCCTTTTCTCTTTCCAGTAGCTGGGAACCCATTTATTCAGAGAAGATGAGACTTAGAAAGGGAGTGTGCTTAGCTGGAGGGCATCTCAGGACAGTGGTCTGAACCCTCTGTCGGACAGATGAGGGAGCTAATGTTCAGCTATAGGAAGAGACTTGGTTTAGGCCTCGCAGTCTTTGTCCATTGCCCTTTGTACTACCCCACTGCAGCTTTGCAAGGCTGTGCCACTGCAGGAACGCCCCCTTGCTCCTGGTTTTTATCTAGCTTCAAAGTTAGAATCATAAACTATTAATGGCTGTGGACTTGGAGAGATTATTTCATCTCTCCTCATATGTCCAGGTGATGTCTCTATAGACACTAACTCTATTAAACTAAAATGATATCCTTTGGCCCCAAGTAAAAAACAATGTCTTTTACTTCTCTGAATTTTCAATTGTGTCTTCACAAATTGGTAATTTTTCCCAGCTTTCTCTTTGCGTCACTCATATAACTTTAGGGTCTTTAGCTCCTTTAAGGGCTGCCTCTAGCAAAAGGACCTGAGAATAAAGAGAACAAAAGGGTTGTGGGACATTGCTTCTTTTTAGAATTCTTTTAGGATTTGCTTTTGTCTATAATTAGAAAAACCAACTAAACTGTGGTTTAAACAAATGAGAGATTTTGTTTTACTCATGAAACAAGAAGTCCAGATGTTGGCAGTTGCTGACCTGGCCCAGTTGATCAAAATATTGGGGCCAAGTTCTATAAGGTCTCTTGATTTACCCTCATGATCATGAGATGGCTGTTACAGTTCCAGCCAACATATTTGTGTTCTAGTTACAAAAGCCCGAAGGGGTGACACCTATATCAGAAAAGCAAAGGCTATTTCAGAAATCCCTATCAGACTTCTGGGTAGGTCGCATTGACTTAGTCCCTCCTAGCTGCAAGAGAGTCTGGGAAGATAAGTTTTTAGCTTTCCAGCTTCCAAGATAGAGGAAGACAAGGGAAAAGAGGGTTGCAATAGGTATTCCATGAGGTACCCTTAGGTATTTATTCATTCTGTAGGCTGAACAATTTATGTTTGCGGGGCAGTTCCGTTACAACCCTTGTCCTCTCACAAGCCACCGTCTGAGTCAGGCTTTAGTGGTCCCCTCAGGTAGTCACAGTGCAGATGTGTTGCAGGCAGGTGCCATGGGCCACATGCAGGTTCCCAGCCCCCAGGTCTGCACCGTTTCCCATCCTCACTGTTTCTTGGCGCAGCAGGGTGAGGCCTAGTTTCCGTAGAAATCTCACGAGTCTCTTATGTCCCAGGCCTAGCATCCGTGGAAGCCTACAGCTACAAGACCAATGAGTGGTTTTTCGTCGCCCCAATGAACACACGGCGGAGCAGTGTGGGCGTAGGTGTCGTGGAGGGTAAGGACCAGTAGGTGGCGGCCTGTCTGGGCCCTGGCCTGTGGATCTTTTTCTGGTTCCCTGGCTCTGTTCCTTTCATCACTGCTCTGAGTCAGGTACTAGCATCCTGATTTAACAGAAGAGAAAAGTTGAGACTCAGAGGTAAAGCTACTGCCTCATGGAAAGGACTGTCCAAATACTAATTTCCTCCAAAGAGTGTAGGACTATGCTCATGAGCTGTCCCCCAAGGCAAATAAGTGAGTGAGCTAGGAGGAGCCTAGAGGGGAAACAGGCCTGTCACTTTGGCCACTTGTCAATAGCTCTGTTACAGGTTGGGAAGATGAGACGAGTGGGGATGTCAGAGTCGATATGTAACCCAGGAATATAGTGTTGAGGCGGTGAGGGTTAATTGTTTAGTTTTGTCCTCATTTTCTCATGTTGAGCATTAACAGAGCCCTGACTGAGGTGGGCACCTCCTCCCCAGTCTGATTAGTCCCCGCAGGGCAGGTTGGTGGTCGAGTCCTGCTCTAGGCAGGAAGGGTGTGTGGGGTGAGGTCTGGGGCCTGGTTAGACGGTGCGCCGTAGTTTGTAAATGGCTTTCACATCCAATTCCTCGTTTTGTTCCCAAAACCCTTCCGAAGGAGACAGGCAGGGTTTAGATTTTTCTCCATTCTCCCGAAGGGGAAACTGAGTCCCAGAGGGGTAAGTGATGTGCCCCTTGTTAGTAAACAGCATAGCCAGCCCTTGAACCCAGGTCTAACTTTCAAGTACTCTCCACTGTGCTACAGTCCTTCAGACCATTAGAAATTGCTAATAAGGTGGAGTTTTCTAAACATAGGTGACTTCAGGGTATTAAAGCATATAGAGTATTATTTGTACTAAAACACTCTACTTTGCAGAACAACACTGATTCATTAAGCTGTCTGCAATGGGAATTTAGCCGGAATGTCTGTGCCTTCGGACATGTACACGGGAGTTCTCTTTCGTGTGCGCACACAAGAACACACACTAGTGTTTTGAGGAGAGTGTACTGTGCAGTGAGTTAGACGTTACTAGAAAGATTCCCTTTTCTCACTGCACCAGTATTATGTAGTTTACATTTTCATTTAAAAGTGTGTTATTCCAACATTCTGAACAAGCCATCTTAGCAAATGCAAGGATTTTGTCCTCCTAGAAAGATAAATTGTTTCTTGCAATCTCATGCTCCTGGTGGAACAGAAATTTATTTGTCTGCCAAATATAAGCACTCTGTCTAGCTCGCCACCTTCCCATCCCACCCCCTCCCTTGTCCCGTAGCCAGGAATATCAAACAGCAGAGTAGGGGTTAAAAATAGCATATCCCTGTTAATAGAAACCCGAGTGGGTATTTTTTCAGTGGACACAGGCTTGGAATGGTTATGAGGGTACTTTCATGGTAATTATTTGAAACACATCCCAAGACCAAACGCTTCTGTAAGTGGTTCTAGGTGTGGAAGTGCTATCTTGTAGCATGTCCTATCGACACGGAAGACAGACTGGGAACTTTTTTATCTTGTCCATCCTGAATTTGAAACTCCTTTGGCTGTGGGTCACCCTGGGGCAGCAGACAGTTCAATTTTATAGCTTTGGTGAGAATGTTGAGAGAAGGATCTCTGGAGGACTCTGCTTCCCTTACGTGGCTTTGCAGACACAGCTCTCCGCATTGTTGCCACATGAGTCTCCCCCGTCCTCTCCTCCCCATGGCTATACAGTCTGAATGGCATTGGAAACAGAAAGAGTGGAAATCAGAATGCTTTGCCACTGGCTGCGTAGAAGGATCCCTATTTAGGAAAAGGGACAGCGAGGCTCGGAGATTAGGCAAAAGCTCCCAGCAGCAGAGACCGTGTGTTACAGAGAACAAGGTTTCTAGTCTGCTAGGAACCTCAGGAGCCTCTTGTCTGCTCCACACCCAGGCCTTTCTCCTCCCCCAGTGGCTTAGGCATTGACGAGTGCTGGGCAGCTGGGTGGGCAGGTGGTGGCATCCGAGCCAACACACACCACAGGAGTGGCCTGGACCCTGGAGGAGCTGCTGAGTCAGGATTTTCCTCTCTGGCTTAGGTGAGGACAACTGGGGAGGAGATATTCCTCTCTTTTAGAAGGGCCAGTTGGGAGGACTGTGGGGCAGAAAACAAAACTAGGCTCAAGGATGGAAGAAGAAATAATTTTACACTTGATACAGTAATAGTCCTGATGATAGAGCATAGTTTTGAGCTTGAGAACCTCTTTCTAATTTAAAACAATTGCAGATTTTTATATACTAGTGGTACTCGTGTTATTTCTCCATTAAGAAAGAACATAGTGACAGATTTTTTGTTTGTTTAAATAACCCTGTTAAGTAGATTTGCATCTGGTGGTGTTTATTTAGTCTATAGGTAGTGTTTCAGATCTGTGTTATAACTCCATGGTCCCCCAGAAGTCTGAGGTCCACAGGTAAGGTAGGACTTACACACACACACACACACACACACACATACACACACGACTACACGACTACATGTTAAACCCAAAATGTTTGAATCACTGCTCTGGGAGAACTCAGATAACGATTTCCTGCCCCCTTGCCCAAGCTCACTCCCAACCCCAGGCAGAAATGATGCTCTTAGTCTAACAGCTTATGGTATTTTTAGTTTAGAAATCAGTGATGGTGCTTTAGGGCTCTTGTGCATGGCTCAGAGATTACAGGGACTCTGCAGATCAGCTCCAGCCCTCCAGCCCAGAGTGCACACAGAGCCCTCTGTTCATGTGTGAGAGTTGGGGATGGAGCACAAACTGTGGCTACGGCAGCACTTGGGTTCTAGCTGAAGAACATTTCCTCGCGTTTGTTCTGTCTGCTAATGTGAGCTTTTAGCAGAAAGTCAGCCTGCCTGCCCAGACTTGGGGCCCTCTAGCTTTCCATCTCACAGAGCCTGGTTCTGGAAAAATTTAACAGTTCACTAACAAAAACACACGGAGCCCCAGTGGTACTGGGCCAGAGCTTCGCACTGGGTATTTGGGGTGCTTGCTCAGAAAGAGGCTCAGAATTGCTTCAAGAAGCTCAGGATGTAAGAGGAAGCAGAAGGCTGAGATGTGAAGGATGCTTATCCTGGTTGGGGAGTACATTGGTGGAGGGAAGGGGCCCTCGTGGGATAAAGATGGAGTGATAGCTGTGCTCCAGTTCCATGCCGGTGTCCCCGGCACCACCCTCAGTCATTTTGTCTGTTCCAGGGAAGCTGTATGCCGTTGGGGGTTACGATGGGGCTTCCCGCCAGTGCCTGAGCACCGTGGAGCAGTACAACCCAGCAACCAACGAGTGGACCTACGTGGCTGACATGAGCACACGGCGCAGTGGCGCAGGTATGGGGGTGGGGCGGGGCTCAGGGTGCAGGCTCTGCCGTCTACTCACAGCTGGGGCCTGAGACCAGCAGCGAGCATCCTGCCTCCCCTCTTCTTTCCTTGTAACGTCCTGTAATCCCACTCGCACCCCGGCAGCTCCACACAAGCCCTTAAACATTCCCCTTTCCCTGGGGATCACTTTGCTAGAAAACGGATGAGATTATATTCTTGTCATCATCCCTTTTGTGTCTGTGGAGGTGTCTACATCTCTTGAAAGTGAAGGCTCACTGGGTGCCAGGTGCTGTCCTAATAAAGCACTTTCTATGCCTGAATTTATTTAATCCTCACCATAGCCCTAAAAGGTAAATACAATATTAATTCCACTTATCAGATTTAGAAAGGAAGTCAACCAGGGGTTGAATAATTTGCCCAAGGTTATAGCATTAGTCACTGGCAGAGTCAGGATTTCTACTGAAGTCTGTGCCGCATCAAAGTTAGCTTTCCGACGCCCAAATTATTGGCACCTCATTCCCACGAACGAGTAGACAAGCCTGGCTGTCCCGGTCATCCGTGGGAAAGCTAAAGCTTGCCTGTCTGGAGTCCTGGTCTTGGGGTTTGAAAGCCAAGCTGTTAGTGTTCGTATTTGGAGATACATTTGTCTCCCCCCCATCACTTTCCCCACTGCACCCTCCACCCCCACATGGGAAGAGAATGACTTCCCAAATGTAGCCCGCTTTCACTTCCTGTGGGAAGACTGGGAGCTGTGTGGTGCTTTGAGATTTTTCCAGGAGGTGGAGCAACAGCCCCTTCGTCCCTGTCTTGTCTTCCCCATCATCTGGAGGCCCAGAGGAGCGGGTCTGAGAGGACTGGAGGCTGGGCTTTGGCGCTCTGTTCCGGTTCCTGTGGGGGGTGGTGACTGACGACCAGCCTGGGCCTGGCGGGAAGGCCGTGCGACTTCTGGGAAGGGAAGCCACAACTGGGAGCTTTCCCCCACAATGTTATTCCTTTCTCTTTTTTGTCTCTTTGAGGATTGAGTTGGGATCTCATTTTACAGTACTGAGCACATGACTACTTCCTCAGCACTCCTTCAAAATTATGCCATCTTAATATTTTTTCAAGAACCTGTGTGTGCTCACTGGTTAGAAAAAAAAACAAACAAAAACAAAATGAAGCTGTAGGATTCCACGTAAGAAGCATTGGTATTTGGATGCAGTTTTTAGGGAGCTTGTCTCGGGCACTTCCTGAACAGACAGCAAATGCGTGGAGGTCAGGAGACCTGGGCCTTAATGCTGGGGCTGCTCGAACTTGCCGGGTGACCTTGGGCAAGTCCCTCCCGCCTTCCTGGCCTCTGATGCCTGAGATGTGAAATGAGGGGGTTGCAGTAGATATTCCCCCGGGGCCCATTCAGTTCACAGATCCCATGGATCTTCTCCCCTCACAGAGCTTTTAGTCATTTTGGTTTATAGAGCCTTGGTAGTGTTTTTTATACTTCTGAGAAATTCTCTATGTGACTTGAAGTGTGAGAGCAAGTGTTTAGAGCCCAAGGATGTGGGGACAGCTCAGAAGGAGTGGAGCAGCACATCCTGAGACGTGTGGCTGCTTTTAGAAACGTCCCAAGCAGAAAGTGTAGGAGGGCAGTCCCGTGTGGAGCCCCCAGCACAGAGCTGCCTTAGAAAGCTCAGGCCTCTTGGAGGCCACACTGCTCTGTCTGCCAGGCTGGCCGGGGTTACTGCTGAGTGGAGGTCATGTGGGCTGGAGGCCCTGGACAGTGACAATTCTGCCTGTGTCTCCAGGAGGCACCGTGACCTTGATTTAGGGAACGATCTTTCTCCCAGAGGTGGGCTCTTCAGGTTACTGTTAGAGCCCTGGCTTCAGGCTCCCAAGTTCAGCCTCTTATCAGAGTTTCACATCCCTGAGATCTGGGGAAGTCTCACCCCTGGAGCTGGGAACCTACATGCTTGTCGTGGTGAGTGGTCTTTGGTGGCCAAAGACCCAGAGGCCCTTGCCTCTGGTTGCCTGAGACCATTTGAGGTGCCAGGAGTCTCTGTGGTTGTGGGGAACCTCTGCGTGAATGCTCGCGGAGGAGGCTGCAAAAGGGCAGTGGTGCCCGTGTGTGCCTGGAAGGCTGCTTGCTGCCTCAGCAGATGGCAGTGGGGAAAAGAGGCCATCTCTGGGTCCCAGCGTGCGCTAGCTCCTGCTGTGCGTGGAGGAAGGGAAGGTGAGGTAGCTTTGGAACACGACCGAATTTTATTAGCCCAAGCCCATTAGGTAGCCACTGTTGATCCAACACCACCATCTGCTGTTGGTTTAGGGCAACTGCGAGGAACCATCCGCATACCAGCACAATCGCCGATTTTCCGTATTTTGTCATTCAAACAGTGTTTGTTGGGAACCTGCTCCCCACCTTCAGGCGCAGAGAAACAGATGCGATAAGACAGACATGCTCTTTGTCCATATGAAGTTTATATTCTAGAAATCGAACCCTTGGCTCCGAAACCTGCCTGTGCAGCCCAGTCGCAGGAGGTACTTTTCCTGATTCCCAGACAGTGTCTCTGGGAGTGAAGCGCTGGAACCTGCCTTTTCAAAAAGCCCCTCAGCTGATGGAGATGCAGCCTGTCCATGGCAGAGTCCGTGGTCCACTGGAACTACTAGTCCCGCCCCCTCACCTACAGGGGGAAACTGAGGCCCAGAAAGGGGAAGCTAGAGACCCAGGTCCCGAGCCTAGGCATCCAGGCCACCAGCTCTCACTAGGGTATGGTGCCACCCTACTCTTTTCTGCCTTGTATTCCTTTGATCTGTATTAAAGTATTTTTAAAGGCTACGCTGAAACTTGTAAATGATGCACTAGTAGCACTGAGCTGAGGCGCATCAACACTGAGTGATTTAGTGCCCCTCAGCCATCTAGGAGAACATGTGGGTGCGAAAAACAGCCTCTGCTTAAAGAGAGTAATGACCTCGCACACCTGCTGTGTGGCTCATTTCCGTTTTTAACTCTTTCTGCTCAACTAATATAAGGCTGAGTAATGAAAGTAATATAACAGTGGAGGAGAATGAGGCAGTATAGAAGGCAAAAGGAGAGAAGTGTAATTTTACCCCTCACAGATAACTGCTTTGAATGTTGTGGTCATGTTCTTCCAGTCATTTTTTCTCTTTGTATATGACCCCCCCCATTTGTGTGTGTGTACACATTTGTGTACACACACACACACACACACACACACATATATAAAATATATTGTCTGTTTCTTTAAGTAGAATGGGGTCATATTTGCTTTTCATTTCGAGGTTTTCAGGTTGACAATCTTATGAGGTGGCAGGTGCCATTGTATTTGTTTTACAGATGAGGACCCTGAGGTCCAAGGTCAAAATAGCACTCACCATGTCACCCTCCTGGTGATGTCTGTCCAGGCCTGGATGCCAGGCCTCCTGGTTTCTGGTCACTAGAGCCAGCCTCAGGCTGGGACACTGTGCTCTGCCTTTCAGGGGTTGGGGTTCTCAGTGGACAGCTGTACGCCACCGGTGGGCACGACGGGCCCTTGGTGAGGAAGAGCGTTGAGGTTTACGACCCAGGAACAAACAGCTGGAAGCAGGTGGCAGACATGAACATGTGTCGACGCAATGCAGGTAACGTGATGGCTCCCTCTGTCGCCCTGGGGGTGGGGGTGTGGGTCTTCTCCCTGCAAACATGAACTCTGAAAGAGAGGCAGAGGGGAGAGACTCCCAGGGCCCGGGGCGGAGTCTGTCCCCTGAACAGGAGTGTCCATTTGCTGGGCAGGCTCTGGGCTAGGGGAGGGGAGCGCTTGGGACCCTAAAATCTAGCCACAGGGTCTCCCACTTAGTTGCAGGGGGTTCCTTCCCTCCCAGTGAAGGGTGATGACTTTGACTGCGTGTAGATGGGCACAGACCCAGAAAAGCCCTCTGGCTGCCACCAGTGCCCCTGCCCGCTGGCGTTGCTGGACACGGCCGTGTGGACATGAGCACACAGTATCTCTGGGTTCTGTCTTGTGTTTGCCAGCTCCTGGCTAGGAGAACCTCTCACTTCCCACCTGGAAGCCAGCTCCTTCCTTTCATGGCACCCGTGAAAGGATTTATGATTCATTCTCTGACTCATCCTCCCTGATTCATTCTCCAGCAGAACCACTTCCCCTATTCCCTTTTTCGTGCTTCCTGTCTCTGCTTCCTTTCCCTTCCCCTGTTCCTGCCTGTAGGAATGATTTACCTCAGAGCGTTTAGGTTTTTAATCTTGGAGCCTGATACCCCAATTTTATTTTAGAATTTTGCCCTGTGGGTCATGTCCTGTGTTGGTGTATCTCGCTTTATGCTTCCCTACGCTATGAATGCATTGGCTTAGCCCAGCTTCTCAGGCTGGAAAGACAAACAGGTGACTTTCAGGTTGATTTATGTCCTTCAAATGGCCTGTTTGCTAAATCCATTTGTAGCGGACTTGTTGAAACTGTAAACAGAGGAGAGTTTATTAATTTGCTCATTGTCTAAGCCTGCTCTGATGTAACTTGTCATTTGACCTTAAACCACATGAGTGAGGAATTATAGAACCCTCAAGGCAGCTAGTCTATCTAGAGTCAGAGAATTAAGTTTAGGTGTAAATGTCTATATGTACATGCATTCACATAGATATTTCTATTTTTCATAACAGTTTATAAAACAGTATTTAAAACAATATCTGTAATACTGTTTTATAACAGTATTTTTAATCCACTTTACAATCTTACATGAATATCTTATTATAACACTAAATTTGTTTACACGATATTATTTTAAATGCCTAGATCATGATTTAAATAACGAATCTGTTAGACACTTTAGGTTATTTCCATCTTTTTGATAAGTAATGCTTTGGTTATCATAAATGGTCCTTATAGTTAATCAATGCATACATCTAAAATTATTTTTTAGAATAAAAGGCCAGAAGTGAAACTTTTGAGTCTTTGTCCATATGAAGTTTGGGAGCATATGTGCTTTTCACACTATCTGGGAAAGTTGGTGCATTTTACACTCTCACCACCAGTATTTGAGAGTATCTTTACCAACACTGATAATTACTACTTTCTGAGCATTATCAGTCTCTTAATCTAATTTTGAGAAAAGTACACAGTCTTTTAGGCCCTTTAACATTTTGATGAGCAGTAATTACGTTTTCCTGTTCTTGAGTCCCTGTTGATGACTACTTGCCCCCAGACCAGCTCACTCTGAGGTCAGGGCGGGCCTGTCCCTGGGAACTATGTGTGGATTTAGACCCCAGCTGTGCGAGGGGATCACAGACATGACCAGGAGGCCACACGGTGCGGCTACAGTAGGCTTTTTCAGGGAAAAGCTTCCGAGCAGGGCAGCAGTAGCGCACATGAAACCCCCTGAACTGTCTTACTCCATAGCTCAGGCTGGGCATGGGAAGTCTGGGCACCCTGGTGGGCAACGCTCCAGCAGAGAGGTGCACGTACCCATAACGCTCTACATATTTTTAGGGTTGGGGACAAGGGACATTTGTAGGACAACATAGTAGTGAAAGCTTCCTGGTCAGAGAAGTGACCTTGTTAGAAAGGAGCTCCTCGGCACCGAGTGGCTCTTGTCGGAGTGTCCTTTCGCTGAGCAGATTCAGACCTGTGCAGCCCATTGTCTTGTGCTACCACGAAGGGGAGGAAAGGAGCCTCCAGAGAACCCAGGTTTGTCTTTGTCCGTTCTGATCCCTTGGTGCCCCTGCTGCACTGTCTCCCATGGCTTCCGTTTGATTCCCAGGTGTCTGTGCCGTGAATGGGCTCCTGTATGTGGTTGGAGGGGATGATGGCTCCTGCAACTTGGCTTCGGTGGAGTATTACAATCCTGTCACTGACAAGTGGACGCTGCTGCCAACCAACATGAGCACGGGGAGGAGCTACGCAGGTCAGTGTGCTGCTCCACCCCCACCCACTGGGGGTGCCGCTGGGGTGGGGCGGGGTAAGCTTGCTAACCTTGGGATTGAGTCCCTCCTCCAGGGGTGGCAGATCATTGTCACTTGTCCCCACTCCTTCATTCTGTACCCAGGACAGGTATATATAATTAGCACTGAATGCAGCCTCAGAATTCTTAACACAGTGTTCCAGGCAGCCACTTGCAACTTATGTAAGTCGTCACAAGAGGCTTTAGAATTGCATTGCCATCCCTGGTTTGCTTTGTGCCAGGCTCCTAGGTGGAATAAGATACAGTTCTTGCTTTCTAGACCTCCCATGCCTAAATTGGAAAGATAATACCTGCCTACACAAAACAGGAAATACAAGATGATGTACATGTACGTTCTGAATGGAATGTTCTATAGAGACTTTAGGACATGCCAGCCGAGCACTGGCAGAGTCAGGGAACACTTCCCGGAGGACGCGGGGCTTGATGAAACTTGGAGGGTGGATCGCAGTCACACAGAAAGCCGCCCTTTGCTGGTGCCCCCTCCCCATGCCACAGGGCAGCGTGTTAGGTACAGTGTAGGTATTGGCTCATATCTTTTCAACAACACTCTGGTTGAATGGAACTATCCTTTCGTGTTACAGATGATGAAACTAAGGTTTGGAGAGTTTACGTAACCCGCCCAAGGCCACACAGCTTAAAAAAAAAAAAAAAAGAGGCAGGGTCAGAATTCTAACCCAGGTCTCACTCCTAAGCCTGTGCTCTTTGTTCTACTCCAGCTCCAGGTTAGGGGAGAAAGCATCCCAGGCAAGAGGCTGGCGGGGGGAGGGAAGCCTGCGGCTGGCGGAGAGGCTTACCCCTGGGGAGTGTGTTGTGATGGGGGTGGTGAGGTGTGGGGTGGGATCTCAGCTGGTGCTGCTGAGCTCAGGGGCCTACAGGGAGACAAGCAAACATATCCGTCGCGTAGCCCCGCTCCTTGCCGTTGGTTTTCCAGAAACTGGAATAATCCGAGCTAACATTTATTTATTGAGCACATACAATGTGCCAGGCATAATCCTACGTATTTTGAGATCGTTATTTCATTTAATCTATACAACGAAGACTCTGATGGTATTCTTATTCCCATTTTGTGTTAGAAAGGTCAGTCACTCCTTCCTGTTTGGAATTCAGTGCAAAGGAAGATGGTGCCTCAACGGCTCAAAGGGGTTTCTGTCACCTTCCACATTCTGTCAACATAAGGCTTCAATTGCAATGACTTTATTTCACTTTTATTCCCTCGTGTAGGATTTTTCTCGACTAAACATAAAACATTTTAGAGGCATTTTGGTCCTACAGTGATTCTGTTCTTATGGTTGATTATGAAAGCCAGCACTGTCATTTTCTTTTTGAAGTCATGGTGGGAAGAGCAGGCATTTTCTGGTAGAAGGTAATGAGGTCCGTGCAGGACCCCTTCCCTTTGGCTCCATGCATGCCGTAATGAGAGGGGAAGGCTTGGGTGTGAGTGGTTAGCAGTCTGTATATGTGCTGAGTATTGCGTGCCTGTTTCTTTATTGCCTGCCCACTCCAGAAGTAGGTGGGAAGGAGACAAGCTACTTATGTTCAAACGCATTGACTAAGGGAATCTGTTGTCTTAGAATCTAAGGAAATGGCCTGAAACGCAAAGATTTATGGACAAAGTTATTTATTGGAACGTTATGTATAATAGCAAAGAAACTGAGAACTAATTAAAGTCTGACATGAGGGAAATGGTTAAATAACTATGGAATGGTGATACAGTGAAAGTGTTTTTAATGTCATGAGAAAATGTTTGTGACAGACTGTTAGGGTAAAAATGGAGGGTATAAAAATGTACGCAGCACCTGAGCTCCATCCTGTAGTCCTGGGGCCTGGGGGTTGAACAGCTGCTGTTTAGGGAAGTGAATTTGAATCCCCACTCTGCCACTAGCCCTGGGACTCTGGGCAACGTAATCAGTCTGACTGAACCTTTGTTTTCTCATTTGTTAAGTGAGAATAAAATTGTGCCAAGCCTCTTAAGGCTGTTGTGAGGTGAAATGCGATTATAGTTGGAAAGCGCTTAGAACGAAGCCTGCCTGGCTCGTAGAAACCACTCAGAAAATTATTGTGATTGTTATTAGAAGCTAGGAAACATTCCAAAGAGATAATGCTGATTCTCTTGGTGTGAAGGTACTAAAGATTTCTTACTTTGTGTTCTTAATTTTCCAAATTTTCCATAATGAGAATATTTTACTTCTATAATAAAAAAAGAAAGTTAATATTAAAGAACTTATTTTTTTTTTTAAATCTACCTTGTGAAAGGGAAGCCCGAGGTGCAGGCATGATGTTCTCAAGGTCAAGCTTTTATGTCTGTTCGTTTATCCAGGAATTAACATGAAATGGATTTCTTAGCAGAATCTCACCATTGGGATATCCTGGGGTTTCTTTTAGCAGTGTTCTCCTAATTTCGTCTTCAACTAGAAGATTTTATAGTTGTGGGACTATATTAAAATAAGGCTTCCGTTACCATCTTATCTGTAGACCTTACCCATAAGTTAGGGTTTTGTTCAGCTGTGGGTATCAGAAAAACTCACAGATACTTGTTCAAATACAAAAGGAGTGTATTTGTCTCAGGCAGAAAGAAGTTAAGGGCTGACCTGGTGGCTCAGACCATCATTGAAGAATCAGGCTTCTCCCCTCCTTTCTGTTCTGCCACCTTTATCAGTGGCTTCTGCTGCCCCTCGGGCCTTGCACAAGCACTCCGGGCAGATTGAGGGACAAAGCCAAAGTGGTCGCACTGGCAGCCTTGCATTCACAGTCGTGTTGGCTAGGACTGGGTCCCATGGCACACGCAGCAGCAAGGATGTCTGGGAAGCTGAGCTCATCACTTGCTGGTCTCTATAGTAGAGGACAACGAGGAGAAGGAATGGTGGCTGAACCCACCCACAGTACCTGCCACATCGCCCCAGTCCATTATGGCAGTATTTCAGGGTCATACCTGGATTTACACAGTCAGCTGTTGAGTGTGGTTCAACTCGGCTGCAACCCTGACACATCTGAACATGTCTGGAGTGTTTATCCAAGTATGAAACTTAGCACTGGAGTGAGTGGTCTTTCAGCCGGAGGACATTGAGCAATATGGGACCTGAGCCTAGAGAGGTAAAGAGGCTCCAGTATGGCTTGACTGGTGGAGGGGGTAGGATTGGAACTCCGTTTCTCTTACTTTCATGCGGTCAGTCTGTTGTTCTTGCCGGTTCATTCCAGGTCTTCTAAGAGTAGGCATGAATCACTCATCACTTCTCTTAAAGAGATACAAATGTCGAGCTGTGGAGCTGCCTCTGGGGTTCCAGGGATGGTGCTGAGCGTCGTTCAGCTGGGTGCTGGGGTCGGGAAGGGGTGTTGTTATAATAGGACATGATGCAGGGTAAGATCGCTACCTGGGTGCTGAGACTGTGCTCGTGGGGACTTGGCTGCTGGAGTGGGCAGCTGCCAGCTGCTGGCAGCCTGAGGCCCTTCAACGTTTGGATACAAATTATACCCTTTTTTGTTGGCTGCGGCTTAGGCTGTCTTGGATTCATGGAGTCCTTGGGACATTGAATAACTTTGGAGAGGATAAGATGATAACTTTCTCCCCCTTTCACCTTAGGTGTTGCTGTGATTCACAAGCCCTTGTGACTCCAACTCCCATACCAGGAATTGGGGGACAGGCGGGGTGCTGCCTGGGACTCAGAACAGCGGGACCGTGACGGCTGGATCCCACTCACTGGCAGAGTCTGCAGCAGAGCGAGAACAGCCCTCCTTGGACTTGGCAGTATAGTGTCCGGAGTGAAGACCAGGGTCCCACCTGCTCCCCTGAGGGGTTTCAGCCCTGAGCAGTGGGCTCCTGATAGCTTCAGGTGGCACCTTTGGGCTTCTCTTGTGTTTCTACAGGGACTGGTGTGTGTGTGTGTGTGTGTGTGTGTGTGTGTGTGTGTGTGTATGTGTGTGTGTGTGTATGTGTATGTAACACGGGGCCTCCCTAAGTGGGATGGGGTGTGACCGTCTACTGGATTTCTGTACTACTGATCCTTCAGCTATGCTAAAACTCAAACCACAGGAACCTTTCTTCTGGAGTTGCCCCATGGGCACCCTGAGACTACTAAAGCTGCTGTCTGTTGGAGGTCCAGTTGGACAGGGATGTCCAGAAGTGACCAATGAGAAGGACAGTGCTCTGCCCATTCCCACATACAGGCTTTGACTACTGGCACTGTCTGCAGAAGAGCTGGACGTTTTCAGGGCTGCACTGCATCCTCTGTGTGCTAGGACTAGGAACAAAGGGGCTCCCCAGCCCCTCAGCCTGGTGCTTGTCCTTGGGCTCTCCTCCGGGAAGCAGATGAGAACTGCCCGTTCTTCGGACCACTGGTCTTCGATGTCATGGATTCCAAGTTTGGGAGAGTTTGTGTATCTTCAATTGGGAAAACTAGATCTCAGAGAAGTCCCGAGGAACACACTGGGAAAAATAAACATACATGAAAAACAAAAAGAAGAACAAAAAACCCCAGTGCCTGTAACGGTTTCAGAGAGGATCCTGCTTCTGGATTTTCCCAGGATGTGACAGTCCCCATTATAATTATTATCCAGGCTTGATTATTCACAACATCCCACTTCCCCTCAAAAGTGTTCTGCTTTGGAGGAAAAGTAAAAGGTCACCCTGCCTCCAAAACCAAAGATAGGTTTGTCCCTGCATTGGATGGGGTCAGGTGTTCTTCAGATGAACATGGATGTCTTCAAAGGAGCTTTCCGGCTGGAGCTGGCCCTTAGCACCTTGTGATGATAGTCAAGTCTGTCTGACATCCTTGTCTTTCTTTCCTTGTGCCCTCCCCTTATTCTAGGGCCTGTACCCTCTCTCCCACTGTCAGAACACCCTCCTTCTCCTTGCTTCTGAGGGAAGGGGATGGTGGTAGGCCCTGAATGTGTGATCTCTCTCAGGGGCACTTGCATTTTGAGAGGAGCTAATGAGAACTTTGCTAATTCACAGGTAAAAACTATTAATGACAGAACTTTAAGCATCTGGTAGGAGGGAGGTATTTCATGGCTCACAAGAGTCACTTGCATTGAAAAAAAGAGGAGCTTAAAGCCAAGCCTTTTTGTTCCTAAACTAGCAAGCTGCTTATGTTGGAATTTCTGGCACAAGGAGGGGAGGTCTTGTGTCTGGAGAACAGTCTTACAACTTGGGGGCTCGGGTTTTAACCTTCCATGATGTCAGGGTCCTACAGGGAGACAGGGGCTCTGTGAACCCTGACATTGGACTTCTCCTCCCAAGCACACATCGGCGGAGGCTGGCATCCTCCCACCACACCCCCGGCTTTAGAAACCCAGGACCCTCCACAGCTAGCTGGCCCCTTGGTGTATTTACTGTATATTTATTATGCACTAAACACTGAACTCTTCTTGAAGAGGAACTGTCTTCTAATGTTGAGCAGATGTTATTTCAGTGGGACATTTGGAGAGAAGCAAGGCACCCAGAAGTTTTAGTAGCCTTTGGAAGAGGCGAACACATCCGGCTTTGGTGGACCTGGAAGAGGTGTCTCCCAAGGAATCCATATGTGCTTTCAGCTGGGTGCTGTGCTCTAACTCAGCGCTAGAGATGACTGTGGTTTCAGAGCTCTGCCTGGCTCGAGACTGGAAGCTGATGGAATGAACTTTTGGTTCCAAATGTTCTTCCTCCCTCTCTGAGGAAGGTTTGGGACTGTGTGTGTGTGTGTGTGTGTGTGTGTGTGTGTGTGTGTGTGTGTGTTGGGAATGAGGTTGGGGTCTGATGTGTGCTATTCACACAGCTCCTGATTTCAGATGAAAGCTGAATTCCCCACTCGCTCCCCTAACACGTAGGAGTTAGACTTTCACGCTTACGTGGAGGAGGCTATTGTTTGTGTGTCATCTTCACAGGAGGGTCCCTTCCCTGAAAGCTAGTCAGCCATGTTTTCTGCTTTTGGATTTCTGCTATTGGTCCCATCTCACATCCCTCTTCCTGTGAAGCACCGCCCCTGCTTGTAGTGCTGCTGAGGCCATATTCATTTCATCCTCATGTGTCCTTTCTCACGGGGACTAGAACACTGGTATGTCATCACCAAAAAGCCAAACTGCTCCAGCTGCCCACAGATGCCATCTAAAACCTGCTGTCTCTTTGTCACCAGGTACTGTTCTTTCTCCACAGTGGACACAACAGACTTATTTTCAAGTCTCTGCTGGTTACATGGTAGATGAACCCCGTCGCCCCCCTCTGTCCTAGCCGCAAGTAGTTGTGAATGCAGCTTTGCCAGTGCTGTATCTGAAATCTAATCACAGTGGTGAAATGGAATTGCAGCCCAAGGTTTAGAAGCAGCGTAGACGCCGCTTGGAGACTGATTTGAACAACATAGAAGTCAGACTCTGAATTCCAAAGTTATTTCTCATATGTACCCAATGGCATCTCTCCATCTAAAACAGTTGCAGTATTATGCAAATGAAAGTGACCTCCTTTTCTGCTATGCAAGAAGAATACTTAATTCTATTTCATGACAAACCAGTGGCAACATCCCCCAAGATGCTTTTTGAGCTGTCTTACTTTGATACCTGTTGTGTAATGTTTGTATATTCCTGAGCCAGATCCTTTCAAAGATTGTCTTTTTATAAAATTGAAGCTATAGCTTTCAGGCAAAAATTTTAATGTAGATATTTTTATAAGATAATTTTTCAGGATATTTGAATTGCTTTTTATTGTCTGTGATAATGAAATGTTATGTTGTATACGTCATTCATTCTCAAACATGGTTCATGCCTGGAACTATCTCCCCTTTGTTACTTACCCTCTAAAATCTGATTTTTCAGTAGCTCCGGGTAGAAATGTCTGGAAAAACAATCACTGGTGTCTCTTGAATCGCTTAGGGAGCAACATTAAGCCAGACTCAGCACTTACCCAACTCTGCTGTGTGTCTGCTTTTTGGGAGTCTGTTTCCTGCCGGGGTGAGGCTGGTTGGCCCGTCTCCTAGCGGCTCTCTGTGCCCGGCACTGAGCCTGGCCCGCTGTGGCGTGGAGAAGCTGCAGGAAAAGACCTGCCCTCCAGCACGTGCTCCCAGCAGTGTCCCATGTCCAGCGGACCAGTCCTCATTCTTTTCTGTCTCCTTATTCTCCTAAGGCTTCCGACTGTGTAAGGCCTTTGCTGTTGGGTGATGCCCTTTTTGGAAGCATCTTGTCCATGAACTTGAAAAGAGGGGTCCTGCTCATGATCCCTGTTAAGAATGCACCAAGCAGGTGCTTCCCAGATCACCACACTACACTTATAAAATGACTTGTTTTCTGAGCTGTGTCCACACTCCAGGTTCTATTTTGTGTATTTATCTACCATTAGCCTCGTTAACAAAAAAAAAAACAACACATGATTTTTATTATTATTGGGACAGGTGCCATTTGAATGGCCTCCGAGCTCCCCATTTGCACCTTGTTGAATCAAGTTGGGAGGTTGAGCAAACTCATACTCCAGTGAGCTGGAGTTCTTAAGGCTCTGTCTGCCTGGAGGAGCAAGGAGGTTGGAATGTATTTTTTTTTTAAGTGTTTGCACTACTTCAGAGTCCTAAGCCCCTCACGCTCAGCTGTGCCGTGTACCTACTGACCAAGCCGGAGAGCTGGCAGCACTTCTGGCATTTGGGAATGGAAGAGGCCTCTTCTGTAGTGGATGTAATCACAACCACAGAGCCCCTGTGCAGCCTGTGTCCAGGGGCTCAGGGACGCATGGCTCAGCCACGGCAGGAACGCGTGGGACTGGGGCATTCGGGGGAACAAACAGCTCTGTGCTACGTTCTTGCCTTTGGTTATGAAGTTTCAAATTATGTCCCCTCCCCTTTTCAGTGGCAATAAAGGGCCCTTGTTGGACTTCTTGAATTTTTGTATATGATGTGTAGAATACTTTCTTTGAAAGAAAACTCATGACACTGAATGTGTGTGTCTGTGTGGGTGCTCTGTCTGTGTGGTCGTCCCTCGGCAGGCAGACTGGATCCCTGACGCCTGTACAGCACGCTGTGTAGGTAAGGCCATCGATCTGGTGTTCTCTACGGGGACATTAGGGGCTGTATTTCTTGTAAAAGAACACTTGTCACATGCTCGATCAGTTACAATGCTAGCTGAAGAAACAGTTCCTCAAATGTATTACTTTAACAGGAATAGTTTCCCATACTTTGTTACTTTAATTTTAATAAAACCTGAACTGTGAGAACCTTGCTCAGTATCTCATTTCTGCAGTTCACCCTCTTCGCTATGTCTCAGACACAAAAAGGACAGACACATTCCTGCATATCTTCAGGTTAAAAGAATTTTCTCTTTAAGATCTGCTGGCTGAGTCTGGGTTCCTTTGGTCTCTGTTCTGTGGCCCCAGCACAGCCTGAACCACAGAGACCTTCTGCAGTGAGGCCCAGAGAGGCCAGTGCTTCCAGTCGGCGTTTGGTGTGGGGGGGAAACTGCCCTATATTACTGGGAGGTGGATGTGCTGGTCTCAGGCATGGGAGGAAGAGAGACTCAGCTGTAAATAAACATTGATTTAAAAGTTTGTTATAAGACTTAGAGCTTTTATAGGTATTTTGTTATGTTTTTATTATTAAATATACAAATGTTAGTTACATTTTATTAAATATACACAACTATGAACTATGTTGGTTTATATGGTATCCACATATATAAAATAATAGCTAACATTTATTGAGTACATACTATGTGCCAAGCCCTTTTCGAAGTGCTTTACTTATTATCAGTGCATTTGATCTTGACCACAGTCTTCTGAGTTACTATTACCTTCATTTTACAGATGAAGATGTGAAATGCGGAGAGGTTAAACAACTTGCCTAAGGTAGCAATGGATGCAAAAGGATGGAGCCACTGCAGAGTCTGTGTCCTTAACCCTGTGTCACTTCAGGCTTGAGGTGATGAGGGGAGAAGGGCGTGCTGAGAAGCACCAAGGAGAGGAAGGCACCAAGGGGCCCTGGGAAGTGCAAACGTGGCTCAAGAAAAACACTGAAGCCCAAGTTTTCAGGCCAGTTGGACCAATAATGTCCACATGTTTTACTGATGGTAAATAATTGTATTTGTTACTGTGATGATAGCAGCAGTAGACACTACTCACTGTGTACTTACTTTTTGACAGACCCCCTGCTAAATGCCCTATACTCAGCCTTTCATGCCAACCTCTGAGGGAGGTGGTATTGCCCCTTTGGAGGCTGGATGTTTCCTATTGGGCTGCCCTGCTCCCTTTCTGGACTCCTCCTCTCGAATACCTGAGGTCACCGGGAGTCAGGCCTGCAGAGTAAGATGCCTGGCTAAGCGGGGCTTCACCGTGTGGGAGGTGTGCCTCTTAGGAGGTGAGCCTGGAGGCTTGGTTGCGACTTCTCAAACCCACCCGCTCAGTGTCCTGGGCTCCCACTCTGGTTAACAAGCTGGGCAGTCCCAGCCCAGCCCCCTTCAGGATGTCGGTGGTTGTGCCCTGTTCCAGGTGACAGATGGACGGCACAGGGATCAGGCTAAGCTTCAAGCTGGAGAGACCCAAGGGATGAGCAGAGCCTCTTGGCCAAATCCCTCCCCACACTGGGAAAAGTAAATTTTGAGCTTCGGGAGGGTGTGGCCTGCTTGACCTACTGCGCGTCCTCGGTGCCTGGCACTCAGTGGGCACTCAGGAAAGATGTACAGAAGGCAGAAAGGCATGCGAGGAGGGCTCAGGCAGCAGTGCCATCACCGCTCCCACCTCCTGCCCACCCCTGTGCTGGCCCCCAGCTGCAGCCTCTGGTCTTTGGTCCCCGCAGTTAGTGGAGAGCGGGAGGCCTGGTGCCCCTTGCCCTTTGCATCTGCAGAACACTTAGTTTTTCTCAGAATGATGAGGGCAGGTCCCTTTGAGCTCCACAACAGCCGTGTGGGCAGCAGGCAGACAGGCAGGCAGGTAGGAATTGGTGTTCCCCAGGGACAGAGGAGGCCCAGAGAGGGGAATCCATTTATCTGAGGGTGAATCGTAGTGAGCAGTGAGCCGACCCAGATGGAAACTACTAGCTCTTTTGACCCACACTGAGTCTGAGTGTCAACCTGCAGCTGTTTTAGTGATCCAAATAGCTGGCATTTACTGTGTGCCAAGCCCTGTGCTGAGCACTGTAATTCTAGTTAATCCCCTCCACATGCTATTGAGGTGGCTGATGCCCAGTTCACGGATCACAGGGGTTCATTAGCTGGCCCAAGGTCACACAGAACCTTGAGGAGAGATGCAGCCCCCATCTTCCTATTTGAGGCTGCTTGCTGAGTGGTGTCACCCTCACATCTCAGAGGCCTGTACCTGATGGGCGCATCCTGGAGCCAGGAGATTGCCGGGGTCTGGCCCTCAAGGGCTGGCAGTGAGGCTGTGCCACCAAACCTGCTATGTGCCCAACTGCTCGGGGCTCTGCCACCGCCTCGGAGAGGGTCCTGGGAAGGGACTGATGAGCTAGTGAGTGCTTGTCCGGGCACATGTGCCTTGCCCTCCCCTTCACCCTGTTGGCCCGGCTTCCCTTTACTCAGGAGAAGTTCCAGAGTGAAATCACATTTGGCAGTTTTTCTACCAACTTAGTTTTCTACTGTGTACAGATAGGGTCTTTCGACCCTAATTAGCTAGTTCATTTTACTATAAAACCTCTTGCTTCTGTCGGCCCCGTGATTTGCACTGAGCAGCCTGCCTCCCGCACTGGCCGTCCTTTTCTGCCCAGGCAGCTTTAGCCACAAAGCTCCATGTCAGGACCCATGGGAAGGGGCCCCTTGTTGGGACATGGTCCATTCAGCCTGTGTTTGCAGGTGGGGGCCAGGGCCCCGGAGCTGTAGAAAGGCAGGCAGCTGTCGTTCATGGGCAGTTTCTAAGAGGCCTCGTCGTGCCTGAGACAGAGCCAGGTCCCCTGTGATCCCAGTGGAGGCTCCAGGGCCCAGAACTGCCTGCCAGTCCGGGGACGAGGAAGGCAGTGACCACAGGCCTGAGGGCCACAGCCCTTGCTGGGCCAGAACAGAGAGGAGGGGTGGCCCTGTCATGGCAGGCCTGGTCTCCCTCAGACTCCTGTCCTGTGGGCACTGCAGTTTTGAAGGCAAGCTCCAGGTGGCTGGAGGCCCCGACTCCTCAAGTGTCAGAGTCCCTCCCCTGGGGCACAAGGAGGCTGTGTGACTCGCAGGGCACCACTTCCTTCTCTGGACTCAGTCCCTCAGCTGTGACCTGAGGGCTCTGTGTCCTTAGGAGCATCTCCTCTACTTGCGAGGTCCTGTTCTTGCGCTCACTTGACGGGGGAGGGGACGAGGCTCAGAGAGGCCAAGCGACAGTGGGGAGCTGGGGTTTGAACCCACATCTTCCATGGAAGTAAATTTTGATGACTATGCCACACGTGTTTTTAAACTCTTAGGCCATTAGGCCCTGCCAGTAAACATGATACAGATGATGTGACAAACCCTTTAATTGTAAGCTCCATGAGGACTGGAAAAGCTGGCTTTAGATCTTTCTTCTCCTGTTTTCTGTCCCTTTCCATTCCTAGTTCCCAGCTGCCTGTAAGACAGACCCACTGTTTTCCCCAGTGTTGGAGGTCTTTCATTTCTCCTTCACAGTTTTTTTGACAAACAGTTATTCATTCAACAACAATACACTCCGCATCTACGCTGTATGTTGTGCTAGGTACTTGAGGTGCAGCTGCCAGCAAAGCAGGTGGTCCCTGTGGACATGGAGGTTAGAGTTTTGTAAGGGACACAGTTGGTAAACAGTAGGTACAGTGTGGTGTGTAGTCAGGCTGGGGAGGAGGAAGGAGAGGGAGACATGCACCCAGAGAGAGAGGGGCAAACTCACAGAAGCCCGCGGAAAAGGGTGTGAGATGAACACAAAGCGGGGAGACAGGCCGAGAGAAGGAGACTGAGGCGCAGAGAAACGGAGATGAAACAGAGAGAAAGATATGCACACATGTACACGCGTGTGCACACACACACAGGTGGAGAAGACCCACCACTCAGACAGAAACACAGAGGCAGAGACCAGGCAGAGAGCCAGGGTCAGTTCTGAAGGGGGCAGAAGGCAGGTCAGCCCGGTGCTTCAGCTCAGGAGACCGGTTCACATGTGACCCCTGGTCAGGTGATCATGTGGCTTTGAGCCAGTCTCTTTACCTCTCAGTATCAGTATCCTCAACTGTAAAATACGGATGACGACACCAGTTTTGTGAGCTAATGGAGAAGGAGACACGAGAAGGCCCTGGAACATGGAAGACAGTCACTCTGGGCCTCAGAAAGGCTGGGCTGGGCAGAGCAGCCGCTGGAAGGAGAGACCTGGTCCCCTGCAGCAGCAGTCAGCGCTGAGAACATCCTGACTGCACACAGGTTACCCCGAGCTAGGACTGTGAGTGGAGGAGACAAGCTGGCTGTCCCAGCGTCTCGTCTGGGCTGGGGAGACACTTCAGGTTAAGTGAAGGCAGTCCCTAAGCAAGGCAGTGCGAAAGGGGGCTGGTTTCACCCTGCAGGCAGCCGCTTGCCTTCTTTCTACTTGGCAGAGCTGTATTCAAATCCCTTTTGTTTTCTCCTTCCCTCTGGGTGGGATGGGGGCATGCCTCTGGAGTGTACTTCCTGCCCCAGGAGTTGGGCATCTTCTGGGCTTTAACCCCATTGACTCCAGGAAATGCAGGATTTAGTAGACACGGGTGTAGCTCTATTACTCAAACGGTCCTATTTGATTCTCAAAAACGTCCAGTGAGGTAGCCAAGGCAGGTTTCATTTTGTGCAGTATGTCTCTATGTATTGTGTACAATGGTCACTTTCTCAGTGCAGTGGGTGGTGCATGCAAAACACTGTGCCTGATGCCTGCACATAGTGGGTGATTTATTAGTGGTAGCAAGTATTACTTTCGTCGTTCCATTTATACAGATGGGGAAACGGGGGCTAGAAACAGCTTAAGCAACTCACTTAAATTCCCAGAGTCAGTAAGAGCTTGAACTTTATCACCCAGGATTGTGTTTGGCTCCTGTGACAGCAAAATGATACTAGCGGCTTAACCAAAGAGTGGGTTATTTTGCCCATATAACCACAAGTCCAGAGGTAGGCATTCCCGGGCTGGCCCCAGCAGTTCCATGAGGTCCTTCCGTCTTTCTCCTCTTCCATCCTTAGCATGCTGCAAGGGAGATGATGCACAGCTGCTTTCACATCTGCCAAGAGGCAAGAGCAAGAGAGGGGAAGGTAAAAGGGGCAGGGTCTGTAACAGGAA